AAGTGAAAGTCGGACGCTTAACCGACTAAGCCACCCAGGCACCCCCTTCCCTATCCTTTATCCTCCTCTTCTCTTGCTCATTCTCCTACTCCCCTCTTCTCCCCCCCCCCATCCCCCATGACATTAGCACTTCCTTGCCTCACAAGTATCTGTGGCAGCCTCGCTGCTCCTTAAGCCACAGGCCCAGCCCAGGCCCTCCTGCTCCCCGGTAACTGGGGGCCAGTAGGTTCATGAAGGGGTTAGAATTGAGCCACTGCAGGGTGGCAATGGGCAACAAGGGAGAGGGCCTGCTGGCCTTGGCAATCATTGCCTTGTCACCTCACATGCAACAGGCCTAACTCAGATGCACAATCTTCCCTCCAGCCATGCTGAGGATCATCCTTTACCCACTTCCCCAAATTTGCATCTTTGTTGCCTCACTTCCTCTGTGAGCTTCATGCAACCATTGCCTCGTTCAAGGGCTCTTAAATTTAAGCACCTCTCATGCTCTTGCCTTCCTTCTCATGGCCACCCCCTGGCCCTGACACACGTCCCTCAACACTTCTCGCCTGAGCTCCTTATTACAACAGCCTCTGAACAGATGAACCTGAGTCCTTCTCCCCACCTCCATCTGCCCTGCCCACAATAGCTGGAGCACTTTTCCTGGCTCCTGTCTCAGGCCACATCACTCTGTGCCCAGAAGCCTGCACCGGCTCCCCTGACCCTCCCGCTGAGGCCCTGCAAGGCATTTACAATCCACTCCAGCCTGAGATAGCAGCCTTCCTGGCCCTGGCCTCCTCCCTTCCATTAGGAGTAGGCACTACCCTCCCACCTTTCCCCGGCTCTCTATGCCATTTTCTGCCTAGTGACTTTGCTCATGGCAGCTCCTTCTCTGCTATGCCCTGCCCTTTGCCCACACCATCTTCCAGGGCCCAGATGTCCCCCCTTCCATGAAGCTGCTCCAGAGAGCATGATACTGCTTCTCTTATGGGGCTCAGTACATACAGGCCAAAGTCCTGATGCAGCCTCCCTGGTCCCATGTGCTTTGACCACCTGTGGAGATGGACTGGGCTTTGTTGAGAGTGTGCAGTGTGGGTATGTAGGTGAATGCGCATTTAGAATAAATCATGCTTATGGGGCGCCTGGGTGGCTCAGTCAGTTAAGCATCCCATTTCGGCTCGGCTCATGATCTGGCAGTCTGTGAGTTCAAGACCCCCATGTTGGGCTCTATGCTGACAGCTCAGAGCCTGGAGCCAGCTTCAGATTCTGTGTCTCTGTCTCTCTTTGCCTCTCCCCCACTCATGCTCTGTCTCTGTCTCTCTCTCAAAAATAAGTAAACATTAAAATGAATTATGCTTTAATTGAAAGAGGCAGGGCTTTTCATTGTGCCTGCCAAGCACCTGCAGGTGACTCACCTAGGGGCCTTGTAATAACACAGACTCGTAGGCCCTGCCCATGACCTCAGGGCCACAATCCTGAATGGGGAGGAGGCAGGAATTTGTGTTTTTAATCAAGTCCCCTGTGATCCTCACATTTGGGGACTGTGTAAGGGATGTCAATTTTTTAAAATGTTTATTTATTTACATTGAGAGAGAAAGAGCAAGAATGAGTGGGGGCAGAGGCAGACAGGGAGGGGGAAACAGAATTCCAAGCAGGGTCCATGCTGTCAGCACAGAGCCTGATGTAGGGCTCGAACTCACAAACCATGAGATCATAACCTGAGCTGAAAACAAGAGTCACATGCTTAATAGACTGAGCCACCCATCTGCCGCAGGGAAGTCAGTATTAAAACCTTTGGAAAGCAAGAGTTTTAATGAAGGACTCACTACCTCGTCATACGTGTATGTATAAGCAAGTGGCACTGGGGAGGAGAATGAGTACTGACTACGGTTTTAGGCCCTGTGCTAAGATCTTGCCCAATCTCACTACTGCTTGTGACGCAGGCTCCAAAGTCCTTATTCCTGACTCTATAGGAGGAGAAACAGAGGCTGCACCATTGCTCAGCAGAGCAGGGTCTGAACTAAGGGCTGAGGCTGAAGCCCACGCTCAAGCTACTCCACAGTGCTTTCCATTTGTGAACTGGGGTTTTCCTGGGCCAGGCTTCTTTAATTTTCAAGATCAGGCCCCCACCCCTGGTTCGTAGCCGAGCCTATCCTCCCTCAGGACGGCTCTAGAGACTGGGGTTCTGAGGTTCTGAGAGTCTTTCCCAATAGCCCGTGTGGGATTACATGCCTCAATGTAAGATGGATTTTTTCTTTTTTTTTTAATTTTTAAAATGTTTTATTTATTTTTGAGGGGGGGGGGCCTGCGTGAGCAGGGAAGGATCAGAGAGTGAGGGAGATACAGAATCTGAAGCAGGCTCCAGGCTCTGAGTTAGCTGTTAGCATAGAGCCTGATGTGGGGCTCGAACCCATGAACCGTGAGATCATGACCTGAGCCAAAGTCAGACGCTTAACCGACTGAACCACCCAGGAGTCCCAAAGATGGATTTTCAAAGGTGACTCCTTCCACTCTGTCCCTAAACAAGTTTGTCCGTGATGGGGGGAAGCATTGCTGTCATGAATTAGTCTTGAAATAGGCTGAGGGAACAGAAATATGAAGCAGGCAGGATTTGCCCATTTCACCCACAATGAGTGTGGGACCAGGGGATGGGCCCTGGCCCACAATATCTGCCCAGCTTTGAAATGACTACCTCAGATTCGACCACTTCTGAGTGCCACTTTCTTTGTTGAAAAAGAGGGATCAGTAGAATGAATAGAGCTATTGTTGGTCTTTTGTGCCACGGGTAATCTAATGAGTTAACTCTTCATTTGTGGAAAAAAATATGCTTAGAAAATCCCACTTGGAAATGGGAGTTTTCAATTATATTTGCTTTCTGTCATTGAAAAAGTGCCCTGCACATGTAAGGAACAAGTTTGTGTTTCCAAAACACTGTGCAGGAGTGAAACACTATGGCTAAGGGAGTCCCGGGGTTTAAGGTCCAGCTTCTTTGCTGCGGGACTTTTCAGAGCTTTATAAAGTCATTCTCATGGTAAGTTTCTAAGAAGGAGATATAGTTTTTATCATTTCCAAAGTTCATTTGACCATGAGCCTTTTCACAGAATCTTGGGGAGCTAACATCCCCTAGAACACACTTTGCAAAAGCTAGGATTGAAAGTTACTAATAATCAGAATCCCTGCCATGGACAGAATACTTGATAGCTCATCCCAATGGGCTTTCAGATGGATCTCGTTCTATAGGGCTTTCTTGAAGGACAAGGAAAGGGTGATTTGAAGCTGTTTTGTGCTAGGACAAAGCCGGGAGGGGGTATCAAAAGGGGGACTTGGGGCTTCTAGAGAATCTTGAGGGGGACTGGGGACAAAGAGCTTGCTTCACCAGTCCCTGCACTTGGCCCCTGATCTGCCCTGGAGACGAGCCTGCAGCTCCTCTGGAGGCTCCTGTCTTCCCCAGAGCCTACGGGAAGACCCGACTCCCACCCAGCCAGCATGATGCTCCTTCCAGGCACTTCATCCTTCTTGGGACAGGAACATGGCATAGCCGTTGGGGAGGACAGCTTGCCAGGAGGCCCATGGCATGGCTGCCTGGTCAAGGGCTTAGGCCAAGGCTGGCCCTGGGCCACTTGGCCAGATTACAGCTTTTCTTTCCTTCCTTGATTCCACTTAGGATGCTCAGGATTAATGAATATTCCGTTCATTCAAATCGCACCAGAGTGTGCCAACACCACATGCTACCTCTCTGGGAATAAACCTGCTTTTCAAAGGTAATGCTTACCTAATGGTGGGATTCTAGGCCCTGTTACAAAATGGGGAAGGAAATGACTTTGAGCTATGGTGCCTTCTCAGGACACCATGAATGATTCACCATAAATCTGTCCCTATTGACTATCATGCTCTTCCAAGTGCACTATTCCATTGGTGTTTCCAGAAGGAAAATACAATTCTGCTCAGAGTAACAAACCTAATGTTCTGGAAGTATCAGGAGGCCATGGGGGTACCAAGCCATCACTACTTAGTATTCACTCATCTGGGCCCCTGGGATGTGGAGGGAGTAACTCTAAATAATGACCAAAGTTAGCAGGAACTTCACTCTTATCATGCATCAAGTTCCATTCTAAGCACTATGTATGCATTAGCTTGCTTAATCCTCGCAGTAATCCAGTGGAGGAGATGCTATTTTGTCTTCTCCATTTTATGGAAGAGAAAAACATGGATAGAAAGGCCAATGAGGGGCACCTGGGTGGTTTAGTCAGTTAAGCATCTGACTCTTTGTTTCAGCTCAGGTCATGATCTGGTGGTTCATGAGTTTGGGCCCCATATTGGGCTCTGTGCTGACAGTGTGGAGCCTACTTGGAATTCTCTCTCTCTCCCTCTCTTTCTGGCCTCCCACTTATCTCTCTCTCAAATAAAGAAATGAAGAAGAAGAAGAAGGAGGAGGAGGAGGAGGAGGAGGAGGAGGAGGAGGAGGAGTTGGAAAAGGAGAAGGAGAAGAAGAAAGGCCAATGATGTGCCCATGGTTACCTAGCTAAGAAGATGAGCAGCAAGACTTGAACTCAGGCTTCCTGCAAGTGCTCGGCAAGTCCTCTGCAGGGCCACTTTGCCCAGAGCTGAAGGGAAAAGGGATGTCCTGGGCCAAGAGCATCTGGTTCTGCAGACCTGCAGATGCCCTTAGAGGTAGCTGTGCCCATGCTGCTGAAGGCAAAGTACAAACTGGAAGCCATCTGCATTCTTAAAATAGAATCTTGGAGAAATGAATGTATTATCCAAAGGCATGAATCTCAAAGGGCAATGTTCAAGAATCATTATGGGATACTGCTATTAGCCAGAGAGTGTTTCTGAGTGAAGTAATCCCCTAAACAAACTAATTAACAAAAAACAAATAAAATGAAACCAAAAAATAAACAACTACCACAACAAAAGCTACACAGAAAACCACCATGTGAGCAGTCACACTTTTGCCTGTGAATAAAACTGAGTTCTAGAAATAAAGGGAGATAGATATAAAAGGTTTCAAAGTATGGGAGTGATTTTTGGTTTTTCATTTAATGTCAGGTTTCAAAGAAGGAAGAATATGTTTGTCAACCGTTAACACACTCATTCTTTTTAAAACCCATCCAGATGCCTTAATGGGCTCTGTTAGGAGGGGAGGGCCCCCATGACTGTCTCCCTAAGCTCACAGAGAACCCATGGAGGAAAGTGTGGAGCACATGCTCATCAGGCCCCCTCGTGGCCATTACTTCTTCTTGAACACTTGATGGCACACCTGGTCACCGCAGGTCAGCTCCTGCAAGGTTAGAAAGTGGGTGAAGTGACTAGTAAGCCAGGCCTTCCTATGCCCACACCTCCCCACCTCCCTCCCTTCACCACCTCTTGGTGTCTGGGAGTTAGAGTGGTGGGGGAAGCTGGAATAAAGAGGACACTTAGTCATTCTGGGCAAAGTGCATCTCATAGGCCCAATCAGCTGGCATGCCCTGCAGGTAGCAGTAATTTGATTTTGACACTTGAATTGAGCTTGAACAACTATAAAAATGAAAAATGCAAAGAAATTACCCTCTTGGGCGGGATTTTTCCTACTCCCGTGATTAAAGCAACATCTCCTAATTTATAAAAGGCAGTGAAGCCACGAAGGAAAATCTAGTAGAGAGAAGCATTTGGAAGGTGAGGGCCTGGGAATATGCTGGCTGGTGTGGTGTCGCTCCATCCTGGGGGCTTTCTGGCCTCTGGGGATTAGAATGTCGGTTGGTGGCATGACAGGCAATGACAGGGTGGGGGCTGCAGAACTCCTCCCAAGCCTGCCTAGCAGACAAGATGCTGCTTTTCATCTAGACAGAGGGAGCCCCCGGGGCCTTAGCCGCACCTCATGACTCCTTGAAGGGGGAGGGAAAAATATGAGTGTGGGGACGGCCACAAAATTATTGCAGTTGATAATGAATCCATTGTCTTAGCCACGGGGACCATTGGGGATTGTACTACAATTAAAAAAATCCATCATCCAAACCAGAACAGGTAGGGAAAGCCATCAACAGAAAACACGGTGAATGCCTCCCATTTATCACCAGTTGACACTGCCTCCAAAATAAAGATCTCAGGTGAGCCAAAGCCTGACTCTGAAGGGCACCACGGTGACCTGAATACTGACACTGGAGCCAGGCGCTCACTTGACTTCATAGGTGAATGAATGATTGACTGAATGAAGAGCCATTTAACAAATGAGTGACCGAATGCATGAAGCAGTGAAAGATTTTCCCCTACTTGAATGCTGGACACATAAATTGCCTTGAAGATTGAAGACTGAAAAATTAACCTATCCGGACACATAATTCATTTCAGGAGATCAGCAATTGTTCCTACTGCTCTGTTCTAATACCAAGTTTACCTAAAATATTTCAGGATCAAGTGGGTATACCTGTGATGAGAAGCCAATGCCTGTGGTCCATAACGTGGCTCCCAAGCCCACCTGCCCCTGTCTACTCTACTCCCACCGCTCTTCTTCCCTGGGTCACATAATGGTGAGGCCTGGACTTCCCCTCCTTTGGGGCACCTTAATTTTCTGCCTCACATTCCTCTTCACCTGGTCTTTAACAGGTTCCCTGCATTCCTCCTTGGATCTCGGCTTCCTAACTCAGCATTTTGAACTTTCATTTTAATTGCAGCCGTTCACAGAAACAGCTATATAGATTTCTTCCTAGAGTCCCCTGAGCCAGATGGGAATGGCTTTCTGACTATTTGACCACATGCATTTGGCTGGAGCTCAGGGGAGGAGTTCAGGGCCATTTTTCTTGTCAAAGCACCTGGCGAGGTGAACCTGCAGTTTGTGTAAGTGTGTGGAAGGGAGCCGGGCAGACCCTGAGACTCACCAGGTGCAGCTTGTCCCCCTCAACCCACTGCCTCCAACCGCGGTTCTCCTTCTCCCCCTTCTGCACGCACACCAGGACATCGCCTTCCCAGGTGATCAGCGTCTGCAATGACAGGTTCCCAGGCGAATCAAATGTATGGTCTTGATGGGGACCAAACAAGCTTAAACTTGCAGCTGCAGTTCCCGCGGCCATCGCCAGGCTCCTACTTGCCCACAGGGCAGAGCCCTCAGTTTCTGCCAAGCCAAGATCTGCCAGACTCACTTTCCACATATACCTACCATTCCCGCCAAACCAGCATATTGGGGCTGGTTCTTTTTTGTTTAAAGATTCTACTCTCCCATTTTACCATATTGTGAAAACAGCATTTCAAATCAGTGGGGGAAAAGATGATGCATTTGAGTACATAATGATGTATAATTTTTGGAAGGGGAAAATAGCAGAATTTCAACAGATGAGTAACAAACTGGGAAAATAATTGTAACACATATCAAAGACCTGACTTCCATATATATAAAGGGGTCCTGTAAATCACTAAGAAAAAGATCATTAACCTAATGGGAAATTTTAAAAAGGACACAGCCAACAGCTTACAAGGAAAAAAAACTCTAGCAGATGGTTTTTACCAATAAGAAAACATATTCAACCCTACTCATAATAGGAGAAATGCAAATTAAGGCTGGTTTTTTTTTCCAGATACAATTCATCATATGGTCAAAGATCAATGAGTCTGATAACACACTGAGTTGGAGGAAGTGTGGGGAAGCAGGCACCTCCAGAAATGGCTGGTGGGTATAGAAATCGGTATGAGTCCTTTTGCAGGGCAATTTTATATTATCTTTTGAAATGTGACATTGTGTATGCTCTTTGACCTGGAAATTCTGCTTTTGGGAATGTTTCCTACAGAAGCCACATTGGGAGGACTCTCTATTGTAGGGCAATAATACATGCAGAGAAGCTACCTAACTAGCAGGGGGCCACAACAGATGGCTCTGGTGCCATCCTCATCACCCAGAACCAGGAGGGTGGACCTTCCCCTGGTCCTGGGTTTCCTCTAGGAGGCAATGCAGACCGATTACTAGCACAGGGGCAGCAGCAGAGATTGAGAGCTCATGTTGGGCAGCCAGGCTGAGCAGACCAGTAGGTGGAGAAGCCATAAACCTGCTGAATTCCAATAGGCTCAAACTCCTGTTCATGGGGCACCTGGGTGGCTTAATTGGTTGAGCGTCCAACTCTAGATTTCCACTCAGGTCATGATCTCATGGTTCATGAGTTCGAGCCCTGTAATGGGCTCCATACTGACAATGTGGAGTCTGCCTGGGATTTTCTTCCCTCTCTCTTTGCCCCTTCCCTGCTCATCCCTCCTCTGTCTCTCTCTCAAACAACAACAACAACAACAAAGAAACAAAAAACTGTGCACACACTTATGAGTTTTACACTCCCCAACTCCTCTGCCCTCTGTTTTGCCTTTTACTTCTCCTGGTACCTGCTTCAGGACGATTCATACCAGTCCTAGGTGATTCTCCAGGGCCACCCACCTTTGAGCCAAGATTAGGACTGTACATGCACCTCCCGAGACAACAATGTCACTTCCATGCGGGCAGTGGTTTTGTTTCAGTACTGTCCTTTCTCAGGGATGGCCCTGATGCCAGCTGGTTTTCCTCCAAGTATGTGTAATCCGTAGTATGCTTCTATGAACATTATTATGCCAAGGACCAGATGTTTACTTTTCTATCTTGTAAGCCTACTTGGTGACAAACTGACCTGTGTTTCTTTAGTCACTGTCCTTACACATTTAGGTCTATTTTTTGGTACAATTTTCTTTCTACGGATTGATAAGTCTACCTATTTCTAAAATATTTTACCTTGACCATATTATACATTTAATGTACAATTTTATTCCTCCTCATTTTACTCCCCAACACATTGCAGTGTTGTTTGTTACAGCAAAGGACTGGAAGCCTTATAAATTCTGTCAGTGGGTGGCTGGTTAAATATGTGTAATTCATCCATGCTGTGAAGCCCATGAAAGGAGGAGGCAGCTCTCTACTTATGGAGAAGGGCAGTCTCCATAGTGTGTAGTTAAGAAAGCAAGGAGCAGGGCCATGTGCATAAAACAAGGCGGGAGAGCACATGTGTGCATATGCTTGCACATATTCTCTTCAGGGAAGTAGAAGAATCCTTGATAGTGTTTGTCCCTGGGGAAGGAACTGAGAGACTGGGGACCAGGATGGGAAGGAAATTTCACTTTTAACTTTTTAATTTTTTAAAACCCATCTGCACGTATTAATATTCTCTAAAATAATTTAATGATAAAAATTCTCTATGTTTTATAAAGAAAATGTCTCCCTCTTTGGGGCCATCCTAAGCCTTACATCTTTGAGTGTCTTGGAGAAGCTTAATTCACAGGTTGTTCCCTTTGCTCTTCTGGGAGGGGAGATGTTGTCTGGAATATTCCAGAATTCCCTCTCAAATATGTGAGAAAGGAATATTTATTTGTTATTGTTCATCATCAGTCTTGGGACTAAGTTCCCTCCCAAAAGGATGAGAAAGGACTCAAAACATATTCTATTTGGGCAAAGACCTTGTTTTTTCACCATCCTCCTTCAGCCCACATTGTCTTAGACATCATGGACACCTAATACATGTTGATTGAACTAATATCTGTTGCCCCCAATTGACAATAAGCTCCATGAAAGAAGAAGCTACACCAACTGTTCATTTCTGCAACCCCAGACTTGGCATAGTCACCAGCCAGAGAAGGTGCCTGGTAAGCAGTGTTGCATGAATCGGTGATTGAGTAATTTTGCTGAAATGGAATCTTGAGGTAAATCCACATCGGAGAATTAACAAGCATATGTATCCTTCATTGATAATTGTTCTTGGCAATGACTCGGCTGGCCCACCTCCTTCCCTTGGTTTCTCCAGTACCCCTGGAGTGCACACACGGGACCATCAATATGGACACTGGATGGCAACTGTCCATCTACTTGTCTGCTTCCTCAGGAGGCTGTGAGATCTTTCAGGGCAGAAAGGGGTCCAATTCATTACTTTACCAATAGATCCTGACCCAGGCCTCACGTGTAGTAGGGCTTGGCAAACATGTAGAAGGAACAAAAAAGAAAAATGTTGGTGCATGAGGGCCTGTTTTCTGTTGATAAATCTTAGTAGGCAGCAAGATTAACAGTTATTCTGACCCTAAGTAAATTCATTACCAATGAATTATGGTAATACCTACAATAATGGCAACATCTACAATTTTATAGTCTTATTCTTACATGAAACAGTCAACAAGAAGAAAGGAGAGAATGGTTAAATGAACTAAAATTCCACAATTCAACTTGCTTTTAGCTGGTGTGCCTCATCCCTGCATCAGAGGAGGTTTTAAAAGATGCTCAATTGCCTTAGAAGATCTTGAGGCTGAGGAAATGGATATAAGTGAGGAAAACCATTGCTTGCAAGATAAAGGGCGAAGGAGATGTGTTTGCAGTGAATTAAAGAAGGAAATTGGGTCCACACTGCAATTTCCTCTATCTCAGTGTCCAAAGTTAACATCATTAAAAACAGCTCTGTATGGGAAATTAGATAAGGTCCTGTATCGATGTTAGATTTATAGAACTTGATAACTATACTGTGATTACATAAGAGAATACCCTAATTCATAGTAAACACTCAATTATTTAGGGGTAACATATCAGATTGTTCAGAAAAATATATTTATATAATAGCGAGAGAACATGTACAAAAGATAAAGCAAATGGGGCAAGATGTGAACAGTAGGTAACTCTCAGCAAAGAGTATACAGATGTTCTTTTTTACTTTTGTGCAGATTTTCTGTAAATTTGAATCAGTCCCCAAAGGTTATTTTTTTATTTATTTTTTTTCCAAAGGTTATTTTTTTAAAGGACAATAACAGCTATTTAACTTAAGAGGATTAAAGGGCACTGTTACCATGTTTAAACCTTCCCAGTGCACTTACCCTCATGAAAGAGTTATTCTGGCAGTGCCCACCATCCCCTCCTGCAATCCCTGAGGTGGGGACCTCCTATGTTTCCCTTGGGCTCCAGTGGACATCACAATGGCATTATTATTTCTCAGTGCCATCGTCTGTGTCTGCTTTCCCCTGCCCTTACTGTCTGACCCAATTACTTATTGTTTTTGAGATATAATTCATATATAATTTACCCTTTTAAAGTATATAATTGAGTCATTTTTAGTATATTCACAGACAATTCTCATTGTCTCCCAAAGAAACCCCACACCAATTAGCAGCCACCACCCATTCCCTCTGCCAGGGGGCAACCATTTTCTGTGTCTACAGATTTGCCTATAGTGGACATTTCATATAAGTCACACAACATGTGGCCTTCTGTGTCTGACTTCTCTCACCTGGCAGAATGTTTTCCAAGTTCATCCATGTTGCAGCAGGTATCAGGTATCAGTACTTCATTCTTTTCTATGCCTGTGTGCTATTCCATTACATGGCTGTCAATTACTTCTTTTTAATGTACTTTTATTCTGGGTAGCTTGCATTTTTTTTTTTTTATTTTGCTTGTGTATTTTTTAAAGGGGCTTAAATCCTCTCAGAAACAAATCAGAATAGGAATGACCCACATATGCCCCACAGGAATGAAGAAGAGGGTCCCTCAAAGATTTGACCCCACAATCAAAGTGGTGCCACTGTTCCTTCTCTGGGTTGGCACAGCCCTGGGCACATTAGGGCTCTGTTGTGTCTTGCTACAATGCCACTCTACACACATCTCTTCCCAAAACTGTCCAGTGGGGAGATTCTCAGAGGGGCTGATGAGGGTGACCAAGTTGTTGAGAAGTAGAGCCCTGGAGAATAAGAGCATTAGTGCTACAGCAATATACACACACACAGATACATGCAGACAGATACACACACAGACACATGCACGCACACTCATATACTTGCATGTACACATGCACATATGCATACTCAGGCACACACACGTGCACAGACACACGGCTTTGTGTGCACTCAGGCATGTCACCACTTGTGGGTGACATTCACCAGAGAGATAGATTCACTTGCTCCCTGTAGTCCCTTTCCAGCTGAAGGGATCTAGTCAAGTTACAGTGAGTAGGTAGGGCAACTGCTCTGTGTGTGATTCTCATGGGAACAGTCCTTTGCTGGAGACTGGGCACATTCTGTTCTGTCCTGGGCACTTCTCAGCCACCCACAGTCTCGTGTGTGTGTGTGTGTGTGTGTGTGTGTGTGTGTGTGTGTGTGTGTGTAAGCTCCAACTTTTTGTTGTGGGCAGAGCAGAGACAAGAAGTGAGAAAGGGAAATTCTCTCTCTACAGGGCTAAGACCTGTTCCTGGGGAACAGATGGGGCTCCCAGAGGGCGCCCAGAGGAAGGAGAATGGAAGGAGAAGAGGCACAAGAAGAGTAGGTGTTAAGAGACAGAATCCTTTGAGGGTCAGGAAGGTTGCAAGTATGTGACTTATTTCAGGCAGAGTGAGTTCTCGACTATCAAAGGTGATGAAAGAGTGAGTCAGAGACAACAGGGCTGCTTTTCGATAGCCCAAACCCAGAATGGAAAGGTGAGGGAAAATGAATCATTGTGAACAGATCAGGCTGGAACAGCAGAGTGATGCAAAATCCAGAGACAAATTTCCTATCGGTTCTAGTGTCTGAGGAATTGGCCTTCTAGCCACACAGTTCAGAGAAGCCTTGTCGATCCATCAACCCCTCTGGGAGGGATTCTACAAGGGGCTGTTCCAGAGCCCAGAAGCTCAGGCTTTTATGCCAAGACTGCTCTGATAGAAGCATTTCCAAAGTGCTTTTCATTTCCCACTTTTCTTTAGCAAGGAGCACTAAATATAATTCAACCTTGACTTGATGGCTGAGATTATCAATGCTGCAGGACAACTTGATTGAGAAATAAAATGTGTCCTGTGCTCTTGGCTTTAGACTCATCACCAAAGAGTGATGACAGCTTTTTCTCCCCACCCAGGAGAGCAGCCAGAGCTCACATCTCTGGCTTGGGGAGGAAGGGTGAGACTTGTGACTTTGAAGGAGCTTCTGGAAGCACCAGAGAAGAGTGAGACTTTGCAGAGAGTGGGGTTCATGGCAAAAGGAAAGAACAGGATGGAGGGTTCTGCTTCCTTGAGACACTCTGGGGAACTGGCCCACTGCTGGGGGTTGAGGGTGCAAATACCAGTGGATAGGATACTCAGCACAGCCCTCTCTCACTTTGGAGCCAGGGCAAATATCCTGGTGCCTGCATTGGCACAGGGGTGGGGGGAGTGGGTGCTATAAATATTCAAGCTTCCCACTGTATAAATTGCGTGGACCAGGCCAGTGAGTGGTCTGTGGCAACTATGCTAAATGACACACCAGAAATCCTTCTAAGTTTCATGGACTGTGTCATCCATGAAGTTCTTGCACGATGCTAAGATGGAAATAGGGGAATCCTTTAATATGACTGAGATTGCATTTCTCCTCACTCCTGCTTGTGGGGACTGACCAGGTGTAACTGGATTTGGATGACCAAAGACAGGTGCAGTTAGTATGAGGGTGAGCAATGTGGAAATCGACACTGGGGCTATGATTCCACATGGTGTTGCAAAAGGGGACCTGTTGTTCCCTTGCCTTTCCACCCTTTTACCTCCCCACTTCTCCCTATTGCTATCCTTCTCTGCTCTATTTATAAAAGCTCCTCTGGGCAAGAACCTATCTCCTCTGCAGAGTTCCATTCTTAGGCTTTGAGACTTGTGCACTCAGAGTTGTCTGCTCACTTTCAAGGTCCTGCCTATATCCAAGCAGTTCCAGCGGCTGGAAGTCTGGCCTTCTTCTGATGCATGAGGGCTTTCCTCAGTGATGTCCTGTGAGCTAAGGTGATGTTAAGACAGACACCATCAATGAGCCAGAGATTTCTCCAAAAACTAGGACTGGGTGGACCCTGACTTTGTTTAGTCTACTGACCTTTTTTGATTCGTACTTTATTTAAAAAAAAATCAGTTGAGATCCTCCAAAATTGAGGTATTTCATATAAAAATGTGAATTCTCAGTGTCTCTTAAAAAGAAAAACAAAATCTAGCAACACAAGACCCCAGGGCTCCATGGCAATGCGTGGCTGGTGCTGAGTAGGGCTGCCCCTGGGATGAAGCTGTGCTGCCCAGTTTGTGAAATTACTGTCACTCCCTATGATATTCCACCTTGCTGGCCAGGCCCATGTTGGCATAGGAGCTGGCCTGCTAACCCGGATCCTAGATGGGTCGGCAGTCTTTCATCTCTCCTTTCCTTATAAACTTAGTGTAGAAGGCAGCTTGCCTCTTCCTGCTGAACTTCCAATAATTGCTTACTGCCAGCATCATTAAGTCCACTCTGGTCCCCTCTCCTGATCCCTCCCAGGTTGTTTCTGTTATATTTTCAATGTGAAGACAGCCAGCTCCTGCACATAGAATGTATGAGTAGAAACTGCCAGGCCAGGTCCTCACCTTAACAGTCCGATTGTCCAGGCCCTTTGTGTGTTCCTCAAACTCTACTCCAACAGTGAAATCCAGGTCATAGTTGCGGAATGTGCTGTTGGTTTTTGTCTTGAAGTTATCGCCGTTTTGATCAATGATTTTTGTCTGAGTCAGACGTACTGCGATCTTGCGGGTGGCAAAATCAATATCTGTTGGCAAAGGGAGTTGTGGAGGTTATGATGTGCTCAGCCGGACTCATTCATTTCTTTAACAAGGCCAAACATTTAGGACCAGAGGCACAGATCATGAGCAGGCCACATTTCTTTGCTCAAATGGAAAAGAAGAGTTGTCTGACACATGGCCAATTTGGGCAACTCAGTCAATTGTCTGGAAACTTAGGGTCTGTCAGTGCCTCTTCAGGAGCCCTAATAGGAGGGGGAGGTAGCAAGTGGGGCTCACTTCTGAGCTGCAACTCCCAGTGTGTACGTGCATTTGTATACACACACACACACACACATGTATGTACATGCACGCATGTGCGCGCACACGTGTCCGCACACACACATCACTCCACCATAGAAGCTCCATTCTATCTGATATATTGGTTTTCCTCCTAAGAGCTGGTTGAACAAAAGACTTCATGGTTTAAAAGAAAAGGACCACTTAAAAATAACCAGTCTAGATCATGGGTAAAAACGGACCATTTGTTAATGGCCATGGCAGGTAAGGATACATACAAACTTCCATTTTTAAAGCAGACTGAGGATGTACTTAGCTAGGCTGTTCTGCCCCAGCCATGAGCCCCCAGGAAAACTTTAAGTATATTCCAAACACTTAATAAATATGTGTTCAGAGATTTCTTTGGTTATTTTTGAGGAATAGATGAATAATTGTTTATATTTTTACTACCGCAAAAAGTTTAAAACAAAGCAGAGAGGAGAGTACAAGTAACTACACACAACCATCCTCCAGATTCAATAATTACCAAGATTTTGCCACATTTACTCCATTTATATGTTTTCTCTGCCTTGATGTTTTTCCCCATCAAGTTCTATAGCAGTTATTTCAATCCCCAGCTTTACTAAGATACAATTAACAAACAACATTGTGTAACTAAGTTGTACAATGTGATGATTTGATACACGAATGTGTTGCAAAATGTTTAGGAACAATAAGGCAGCTCTTTTTAAAGTTCAGTAAGCATTAGAATTTCCATGAAAACTGAAAACTCCTTCAAAGAGATGACTGAATTCTGGCCCCATACATTCTGACTCTGTTAGGTCTCAGGGCAAGCTGTGGGTTTGCATTTCTGATAAACTCCAAGGTGATGTTCACTATTATCGGTCATTGACCACACTTTGAGTAGTATTGCTATGACAGATGGACAGTTGGTACATAGGCAGTCTTTGTTTCCACACACATTTTTGATTCAAAACAATAGCAATGGATATTTGAAAATTAAGTTTCACCAGAGAGCCTTCCAGTTATCTTTAACTGTATCTTTATTTTAAAACAGGAGTGAAATTATTAGAAAGCATTTTAAAGGAAAACATACTCATTTCTTAGTTATAATTAGTAAGTAAAAGGGAGTATGCCCTTCAGTGGGGTGTTTCATTTACTAAACTCTGGATTTCACAGTATGAAGCTAGGTGTAGAATCAATCTTCTTGCTGACCTCTGGTTTTGTATAAAATATCACCCGAGCCAAAATGTCACTGTCCTGTGGAATATATTTAGAAAGAGAGGATAATTCTAGAACTTGCTTCAAACAAGATTAAGCTCTTAATATCTAGCCAAATCATGTTGACCCTCTTTATGTCTGGAAATTCTCCAGATATTTTTGGATGCTAATCTAAATTTTTAGGGTTTTTGTTTTTTTTTTTTTTCAGAAATTCTACCTGGAAATTTTCAGAAGTGTTGACATTGATAATGACCTCAAGAGTGAAAACAATTCAGATTCACAGTGTTCTTTCTGAGAATCCCAGTCCCATCTCTATGGTAGGTAGGTGATTAAACTTGACACTGTGTGCTGTCTGGTGGGGGATAAATACTATTGAGCCCATGAGAAAGACCAGCAGTTACCAACAGTTCAGGAAGCTCAGGTCAATAGAATTAACATCTCTGCCGGCCATACTTCACACTTTCTGCTGTGCTTCTATAGTAGCCAAGCAGCATAACCTTCATCCTCTCTTCTCATTTCCTTTCCGACCTATTTCCTTCTGGATCTCTTTAGTTACTATCACTCTTCTTCTCCTAAAGGACCATGAAGAGATTGAAGCTGGCTGGTTGGACTTCACTGTGGGCAAACACTTTGACCACAGCTGGGAACTCACAACAGTATCACATCTGCATGGGGAGGGGCCCTGACTGGGCTTTTGGATCTGAAATTGTATAGTCTGCCTTTATCATAAGGGGAAGAATTTCAACTAGCATTAGGCAGCCCAGAAGGTAAAAGGATTAATACCTGTATCCTAAGTTGAAAAGAAAAATAGGTTCAAACTGACATGAGCTGGTGCATGAATGCTACTGCCTTGCTCAAATATTGTTCACGAATATTGTTGAGAACCTGTCATGTCTAAGCATTCACCAATGGGTCTCAAAGCCAGCTGCACATCAGGATCATGTGGGAAGATGTAAAAACTATGTATTTCTGGGTCTTACTTTAGATCCAGAATCTCTGGATACTTTTAGGTCTTGGATTTCCTCATAAGACTATTTGGAGAGACTTCCATGGTTTAAGAAATTTGAAAGCCATGGCTTAAGCACCTACTCCTCAAATCATAGGTGATGACATGGAGGCCGAGAGAGGTTAAGTGACTTGTCTAAGTATATACAGCTGTAGAAGCAATCACAGGGTTTGATAATTGGATGGATATGTGTGGAGGTATCAGGTTGGGAGGAGAAAACAATGGCCTTGAGTTTGGGAATCCAGGTGAGATCCAAAAAGTCAGAGGGAGAATTAATCTTATGGGATACATAGGAGCCAAATTTTAGGTAAGATGATTTGGGGGCTATACTATGTGGACCCTGGGTAATATTTGGGGCCTTAATTAAGACTTGCCTTGAAACCAACCAGGAATAGTGCCCCAGGGTGGAACCTCCCCTGGGAAACCTCACCCAACAAACCCATGAGATAAGTACTGTATTATCTCCCTTTTACCAATGAGGAAACGGGCTCAGAGAAGCTGTGTCACTTTCCCTGGGTTATATAGTGAGGAAGCAATAGAGGTGGAATTTGAACTCAGAATGGCCTGTCTCCAGGATCAGTGCAGTGCTCTATGAGCCTACAGCTCTGGGCTGGCCCATCTTGTCAGGTGAGACCATCCTAGTTTGTGCACTTTCTGTGGCTGCCCAAATACCAGTAACTTCTGGCTGACCCTTCTTTATAATTCCCCTGGAGGTGCAAGGACTTCTGGGTCCAGCTGATGAGACTTCCCTGTTTGGGGCAGTTTATGTTTTCCAGGGCTCTAGTGTACTGTCTTCACCACATCATAATTGTTTTCTGCGCTCAGGGTCCTATCAGAAATTTGAGGTGGGTCAATCACACTCCAACCTCTGGCCATTCTCTGATACCTCACTCAGCTTCAGCTCCATGGCTTATGGAATTGTGCCTGGGGACGTCCAAACCACACAGCCTGGAATGAGGCAGCAGGATGTGGAATGAGACGAAGGCTCTCTCCTCTGCTCTTTGTGCTGTGAACACTTCTAAGCATCTTGGCCAGCATTCGCGGGGCCTGGGCCATCCCACTGTGTTTGCTTCCTAGGTCACTGGGTCATCAAAAACATGTGATCTGTGAGCTACTAAGTTTGAGAAATGAGGAAGTAAAACTTAAGAGAAGCTGGTTTCTACACTGAAGAACTTCACAGTCTTCATTCTAGGAAATAGACTTGGCAACTCCAACAGTGGGGATATAGGATACAGACTTTCCCGGTCTTATATGGCCATAGCCCTGTGCTGTGGTGGGACATCCCACCCAGCTGGTCTGGTGCTCCACACAACATAATACAGAAAACACTAACAAACCCCTTTCTGAGGCATTTATCTCAGTCACCTGGGCCCTGCAATTATGGAACTATCTCCTGTTTAATTTTCACCTTTCAAGGCAACTGCTGGCCTGCTGAGAAAAGACTAAACAGGACCAAGTGTTCAACTATTCCTGTCTTACAAATTAATCCTTCCTTAAAATTGCTAAAAGCGACTGAAGAGTATTCCATATCTAGTCAGTATAAACACACGTTTGTGGCAAGCAGAGGGCTAATATGTCACACTCCAACTCCTGATTCTCTCCTTCTATCCCAGAAGTGGTCTAGTGAGTCAGGTGACATTTGTGTATCCAGCTTCAGTCCCATTGCTGGACCCTTGGGTCCAGATCTGGAAGCAGCAGAGAGCAGTGGCCATAAGTGGAGTTATTAACTGCATCAGGTTGCTTTGAGGATTAATTTTGATGGTGTTTGTGAAGAGTTCTGCCCAGTGGCTGGTGGCTTGTGGTAATGGCCCCATAAATGGTAGCAGCTGCTATCACTGTAATCATCATTATGAAGTCCCTTGATCTCAGAGGGTGGTGTGCTTGGAGTCCTTAGCATTTTTCTAGATACGCCCTGTGCGTTCGCCCCCTAAATCTCTGCCCCTTTTCTCCCAGCTCTCCAAATGTCATAAGACCCAGACCCAGCCTTGCCTTCTCTAAGCACTGTTCTGCTCTTTCCTGCCTCCTTCCTCACCTGCTCCTCAGGCCACACAGCTTTACCCCCAGGCGCACTACCTGATTGTTTCCTCTGAGCTTTTCGTGGGGGTGATTGTTCCTTCCTCCAAAGTCTTACCTCTATGAGGATAAGGACAATGCTATCTTCTTGCTCTCTGTCCCCAAGATAGGGCACAGAGTAGGTGCGCAAGAAATACTTCTGGATTGCTTAATGGGCACCCTAGTTTGGGACAGTGGTTCTCACAGTGAGGTCCCTGGGCCAGCAGCTTCACAGCACCTGGGAATGTCTTACAAATGTAAATTCTAGGGCTTGCAGTAGACCTGGGTGTTGGGCCATGTTTGTTTTTACAAGCCTTCCAAGTGATTCTGTGCATGCTACAGTTCAGAACTACTGGTATAAAACAGTGAGGGTCAAATCCAGGTTTAAATCCAGTCCCAGATTTCCCAGCTATGTGACCTCAATGAAGTCACTTTGCCTTTCTGAGCCTAAGTTATCTCACAGTAAAATGG